TATGATTCCTGTCTTGAGCCATTGTAGAGTACTGTCCTGTTAATATCTTGTGGTTTTTGTTGTTTGTTAATTCGTGGTAGTTATTATGATGTTCCGGTGCGGTAACACGTGTTTAAGTACTGTCATGTAGCGCTGGGTCTTGTGTTGGTGAATTCTCTGAGCCTATTGCTTGGTGCTGAGAAGTGTTTTGTTTATTTCTCCTTCATATACGAAGCTAGTTTGCAGGGAATAGTGATCTGGCTGGGCGATTGTTCAGAAGAGTGAGAATGGCCCCGAGGTCTCTCCTTGTTGTCAAGTCTCATTAGAAAGTCTGGGTGTTTCTTTGGCTCGTCCCTTGATCGTTACTGCTGTTTTTGTCTTACAGCTCTTCAAGTAAATAATGTTAAGCCTTTCATATCTTAGTTAGAACAATATCTCTTGTCAGTGAGAATACTGATATGATCTGTGATATTTGTCGTGACGTTTACTGTGTAGCTGCTTGACTATAATCTCCCAGGTCTTCTGAGCTTCTTGAACTTGCATATCAAAGATTTTGAGCAAGCCTGGGATATTTTTCCTTATTATATCTTCAAACAGTTGTCAACCCGTGAGTGTTGTCTTCTTTCCCTTCTGGTACCCTTCAAAATTATAGGTTCACACATACACCACTGCTTGTAGGCTTTGCTCTTTTCTCTTTTCTTGCTCTATTTCTGGTGACTTATTATGGATTATCATCTTTATTCTAGACATTTAGAATATGAATTGACTCAGATAGCGAAGGCGTATAATGATTTCTTCATGCTATATAGATCATTCTTGCTAATCTTCGTACAATTTCTACCTCTAGTTCTTAGAGTACCTTTAATCACAGTTAAGTAAATGTAGTAAACCTCGATCTTTGAATGATTCTTTAGTTCCAGAATACGGCATTATACCATTTGGAATTGTCTCTAAGTTTGAGATGCTTTCCTATTTCATTCTTCACAGATAGATTCCTGAGCTTTTTTGTGGTTTCTTTGTGTTGGTTATGATTTTGGTGTATGTACATAGGTGAGTGTTCTTATGAGTCCACTAGCGAAATTCCTCTTCTGTCATGTTGGTGCCTGATTTTGGTTGGTGTCCGTGTTCTAGGGCTGGGCTCCTCTGTGGGTGTGTTTCCGTTTGGTTCGTATATTCTGGTTGCTTGCTGATTCTTCCCATGTCATCAGTTGTGTGTCTTGTCCTTTGGGGTTATTGTTTGGGATTTACACACCTTGTTTAGTTTCTGAGGCGTTAGGTGGGTGTGCCTGTGGGTGAGATTGGACCACTCCCTGTATATTGAGTCAGTGGGTGCCGTGGAAAGGCTGTGCAAGATGCCATCCCTGTCAGTAGGTGGCGTTTGCTTGGAGGAACAGGCTATGCTGTTAATTTTGTGTCCTGTTTTCAGGCTATGCTGTTAATTTTGTGTCCTGTTATCTTGTTCTGGGCGGAGCTGGGTTGGGTAAGCCTGCCCTCAGGCAGTTAGCAGGGGTCAAAGTTCTGTTCTCTGCTTCCAGGAAAAGCTGTCACGGCAGGGCTGGAATGGTCCTGCTCAGCCAGAAAGTCTGGGTGTGGGGGTGGGGCTGTCTGAGACCCGCAGTCCGGAGCGGGCCTCACCTCTTTCCACCCTCCCCAACTCCGCAGCTACTCCTGGGCCTCTGCTAGCAGGCCAGACACAAGCCCACCAGGCCTCCCCGGACTGTGATGCCGGCGGGGATGTTCCCTGCACAGGAACGCCACCTGGGCTGGGCGCACGGCCTCCTCCTGGGAGGAGGGTTGCCCTCTAGGATGCTGATCAGCCCCTGGAGGCACACACACCTCAGTAGGCTGTTCAGGTATAACCCTTCTGTGCCCCGGGCAATGCTAGCCTCGGTGCAGGGGATCTGGTCTGCAGGTCCGACCTCTGGGTTCCAGAGTTCAAACTGTATCCCCACCAGGAGAGGAGTTCTGGTCCAATTCACCCACAGGGAGCCCAGCTGGGTCTATGTCTCTCAGCCTCTGAGTCGGCACCTTCTCCTGGGAACACCCCGTGCCACACACCCTGGGAGACTGGCGGGTAGGGAGCTCACAGTCTGAGTTCCCCTGAGTCAGCTGTAGGGTCCCAAAAGGGGAGGTCCCGTTCCCTGGAGGTGCCTCTGGCTGGTGGCTGTATTGTCTCTCTGGACAGCCACGGTAGGGTCGGCGGATGGGAGGAGGAGGCAATATGGCGCCTGCCGTGTGGCTCGGGTCTGTGCACACGGAGGTGCCCGGAGGAAGTTGGGAACCTTGTGCCACGTCTGCTACAGGCTCACCGCTGGCTGGCGGCGGCCATCTCTGGGCAGGTGTCCGCAGGTCTCTCCACCCGCTGGGGAGCCCACCAGCAGTCCCAATGCAGGGGGGGGAAACAGCAAATCCACCTACCCTTGCCGCTGTCTCCGGGCTGCTCCAGTGGATCCAGCCTCCAGTTCTCCTCCGCAGCCTCCTCCCGTGGAGTCTCCCGGGGTCTCAGGTACCCCTCCTTCCGGCCCTCGTCCGCTGTATGCTCTGCTAAGTAGATTTTTAAATGTTCTTGTCAAGGCTAAGTGTGGTGGCTCATGCCTGTAATCCTAGCACTCTGGGAGGCTGCGGTGGCTTGGTTTGCTTTTTGTAAATAGTAAGGGATAGGGGTTTTGTTTTATTCTTCTGCATGTGGATATGTAATTTTCTCAGTACCATTTACTGAAGAGACTGTCTTTTCCCCACTCTGTGTTCTTGGCAAATTTTTAGTTGGTTGTAAATAGGTAGATTTACTTCTTAGTTCTCTATTCCACCCCATTGGTCTATGTGTCTGTTTTTAAATCAACACCATGCTGCTTTGGGTACCATTGCTTTCTAGTATATCGTGAAGTAATATACTGCGATTCCTCTGACTTTGTTCTTTTTGCTTAGATTGCTTTGGCTATTCAAAGTCTTTTGTGCTTGTATACAAATTTGAAGATTGTTTTTCTCTATTTCTGTGAAGAATGCCATTGGTATTTTGATAGAGATTTATTTCATTGAGTCTGTAGATCACTTTGAGAAGTACGGGCATTTCAAAAGTATTCTTCCAGTCCATGAACATGAGATGCCTTTCCAGTTTTTTGTTTCCTCTTTAATTTTTATCATTAATGTCATATAATTTTTTGTGTAAATATTTCATCTCTTTCAATAAATTTATCCCTAAGCATTTTATAGTTTTTGTAGGTATTGTGAATAGAATTGATTTCTTTTTCAGATACTGTGTTATTGATGTATAAAAACACTACTGATATTTGTATGTTGATTTTTTATTCTGAAACTTTACTGAATTTATAGTTTTAACATTTTTTTGGTACAGTCTTTAGGGTTTTTCTATACATAAAATTATATTTTCTTCAAATAGGGACAATTTGACTTCCTCCTTTCCAATTTGGATGCCCTTTATTTCTTTCTGTTGCCTAATGGCTCTAGCTAGGACTTCTAGTACTGTATTGAATAGGAGTGATGAAAATTGGCATCCTTATCTTGTTCCAGAGTTTAGAAGGAAAGCTTTCAATTTATCACTGTTATCATGTTAGCTGTGGGTTTCTCATTTATGGTCTTATTGTGTTGATGTACATTCTTTCTATACCTAATTTTTTGAGAGTTTTTAGCATAAAGTGATGTTGAATGTTATCCAAGCTTTGTCCTGCAGTAGATCTTAAAAAGGCTCAGTTCTAGCTCTGGCCCACTGATTCTCAATTTAGTAGGTATTGATGTTATTAATTTATAGATATAGAAAATGTCTATAAATTAATAACTTACCTAAGTGGCAATACTAACATAATAAACTGCAGAATCAGCATTGGAAGTCAGGCTTCCTCAAAATCTGTAAAGTATTACTCTGGAATTTTTTTATAGAATAGTTATAGTTTATATTTTATAATTATTTTGAGTTATATTTTATATATAATGTTGGAATGGTTATATACTGATTTTCTACATGTTGAGTAAGAAAAGAGAAGCCTAGCCACTTATTCTAGTTATTCCTAATTCAAAATAAAACATGAATATTCATTCTGTGTTGACAAAACTTATAATATGTGTTGTCCATAAAACATTAATAATTTTAGAGATAGAAGTCTTAACAGTTTTAATAGTGTCTAAACACTATTATATAACAAAAAAGATTCTCTTTTTTAATGCATGCATGTACCACTTAGGAGAAACAATGAATGCAACAGCCAGATTCAGACTGTGCTCAAATCTTTCTTTATTCAAAGAAGAGCCTCTAAATGTTTCATTTTTAACCTCACTGATGACTATAAGTAATTTTATAGATATTTTGCCTGGAAATTTCAAAACACATTTTTTTTTTTGTTATTTCTAGTGCCTATTTGCAATGTTCCTAATGACAATGTTGAATTTTACCTGAGTACTGTGACCTAGGTAAGTGCTAGAAGTTAAGAAATGCCCCCTTCTGTTTTATGTTCCCTGAAAAGTCCTGCTGCCTTGAACCATATTGCATAGGATATGCCAACAATCATCTTTATAACCCAATAATTCCAGATTTTCTTGCATGACCCCTTTAATGGTGAACTTCAGGTCACAACAGTAACCATCAGTTCAACTACATCAAGGGTTCTGAAGACAATGCTTCTCCACCGAGCAGGTTGTAAATGAATTTGCAGAATAGAACCTGGCATCACCCTGAAGGAATGTCTATCTTCACACTTTTGGGGAAGTTTACCAAAATGGCTTCAGAGTTAGACTAACTTTACACAGACATTTTAAAAAAAAAAAAAAAGACATTATTCAGCGTCATGATCAGCTATAATTATAGCAATCAACAGCATGGGTGCAAAAAAAAAAAATCTACATTAAAACCCTTGTTGGAATGCTTTCACTTCCACAGAACAAAACTAAAATAACCTGTATACAATTAGTCCAAATACAGTCCTCGAAGTTTTTTGCCATACACATGAGTATTGTCTAAAACATGTCTTCTTTGTGCAGCTAAGCCCTGCCACCACTGTGCTTGGCTGAGTTCACAAATCTGTTGTAACCTGTAGTTCCCTGTCACTTCTCTGGCTCTCCTCTCCTGCTAAGCTTTGTTTCCTGGGATAATTAAAACCTTCTGCACTGCCATAGGCTACTGCTGCTACTGGAACCACCATAGCCACCTTGTTTCGTGGTTTGGCAAAGTATTGCCTCCACCACCATAAGGGCCAGAGGCTTCTGCCTCCAAAATTTCCTCCCTTCATGTGGTCCAAAAATTTGAGACTGATGTTGTAATTGCCAAAATCATGTAGCTTCCACCACTCCAAATTGCTTCCATCATTACCAAATCCATGTACCATCCCACTGCCCCATATCCACACCACCACGGCTGCCACAAAGCCACCTGACACTGAAGTTTCCTCCATGGCGCAAAGTTGTCATTCCCACCAAAACCACCTCCACGACCACCACCAAAGTTCCAGAACACTTCGACCTCTTTGCTGGATGAAGCACTAGCCATCTCTTGCTTTGACAGGGCTTTCCTTACTTCACAGTTGTGGCCATTCACAGTATGGTATTTCTGAATGACAACTTATCCACAGAATCATGGTCATCAAAGGTTACAAAGCAACCCCTCTTTGCCACTGCCTCTGTCAGTCATGATTTCAATCACTTCAAATTCCATACTGTTCAAATAGTTCTAGGTGATGTTCTTCCGTGTCTTCTTTAATGCACCAACAAAGATCTTTTCACACTTAAGTGGGACCTGGTCTGTTTGAAATCTTCTCTGGGACAGCTCTCTTTGTTCCACAACTCTTCCATCCACTTGTGTGGCCGTGCATTCATTGCTGCCATCCACCTCCTCCACAGTGGCCTACGTGACAAACCCAGAAGCCCCTGGAGCGCTTGGTGTTTGGATCTCTCAGTTACACACAGTCTGTGAGCGTTCCCATGCTCAAAATGGCTCCTCAGACTTCTCATCGTTCTGTTTCAAGCTCAATCCTCCTGATGAATAGCTTTCCGCAGCTGTTCGGTGTCTTAGGAGACTCTGACTTAGACATGACCGGGCAGTGGAAAGAGAGATTCAACGATGCTTCCTCGACAGCGTCCACGGACAGAAAGGGAAGTAAGGCTAACGAACGTATCTCTGATCCACCCCTGGCAGGCACACCACCTCAGTAGGCTGTTCAGGTATTAACCCTCTGTGCCCGGGCGCAATGCGTAAGCCTCCGTAACAGGGGGATCTGCGTCTGTAGTGTCCGACCCGGGCTTCCAGAGGCTAATGTATTCCCAGCCAGGGAGCAGGGCAGGTTCGGTCCAATTCACCCACAGGGGGAGCCCAGCTGCGGTCTATGTCTCTCAGCCCTCTGAGTCGGCGCACCATTCTCCTGGGAACACCGCTGCACCAACACCTGGAGAGCTGGCGGTAGGGAGCTCACAGTCTGAGTTCCCTGAGTTCAGCTGTAGGGTCCCAAAAGGGGAGCGTCCCGTTCCCTGGAGTGCCTCTGGGCTGGTGGCTGTATTGGTCTCTCTGGACAGCCACGGGTGGGCGGTCGGCGATATGGAGGAGGAGGCGAATATGGCGCCTGCCGTGGTGGCTCGGCGTCTGTGCACACGGAGGGTCAGGTGTCCGGAGGAAGTTGGGAACCTTGCTGCCACGTCTGGCTACAGGCTTCACCGCTGGCCTGCGGCGGCCATCTCTGGCGCAGGTGTCCGCAGGTCTCTCCACCCGCTGGGGAGCCACCAGCAGTCCCCAATGCAGGGGGAGGGAAACAGCAAATCCACCTACCCTTGCCGCTGGGTCTCCGGGCTGCTCCAGTGGTTCAGCCTCCAGTTCCCTCCGCCAGCCTCCTCCGTGGAGTCTTCCGGGGTCTCAGGTACCCCTCCTTCCGGCCCTCGTCCGCTGTATTGCCTCTGCTAAGTAGGATTTTTATAATGTTCTTGTCAAGGCTAAAGTGTGGTGGCTCACGCCTGAATCCTAGCACTCTGGGAGGCTGCCGGTGGCTTGGTTTGCTTTTTGTAAATAGTAAGGGATAGGGGTTTTGTTTTATTCTTCTGCATGTGGATATGTAATTTTTCTCAGTACCATTTTACTGAAGAGACTGTCTTTCCCCACTCTGTGTTTCTTGGCAAAGTTTTTGTTGGTTCTGTTAAATAGGTAGATTTACTTCTTAGTTCTCTATTCCACCCCATTGGTCTCACTGTGTCTGTTTTTAAATCAACCCATGCTGCTTTGGTACCATTGCTTTCTAGTAATATGTGAAGTAATATACTGCGATTCTCTCTTTGTTCTTTTTGCTTAGATTGCTTTGGCATTTCAAAGTCTTTGTGCCTTGTATACAAATTTGAAGATTGTTTTTCTCTATTTGGAGGAAGAATGCCATTGCGGTATTTGATAGAGATTTATTTCATTGAGTCTGTAGATCACTTTGAGAAGTACGGGCATTTCAAAACTATTTCTTCAGTCCATGAACATGAGATGCCTTTCCATTTTTTTGTTCCTCTTTAATTTTTTCATTAATGTCATATAATTTTTTGTGTAAATATTTCATCTCTCTTAATAAATTTATCCCTAAGCATTTTATAGTTTTGTAGATTGTGAATAGAAATGATTCTTTTTCAGATACTGTGTTATTGATGTATAAAAACACTACTGATATTTGTATGTTGATTTTTTATTCTGAACTTTACTGAATTATAGTTTTAACATTTTTTTGGTACAGTCTTTAGGGTTCTTTTCTATACATAATTATGTTTTCTTCAAATAGGGACAATTTGACTTCCTCCTTTCCAATTTGGAGATGCCCTTTATTTCTTTCTGTTGCCTAATGGCTCTAGCTGGACTTCTAGTACTGTATGTAATAGGAGTGATGAAAATTGGCATCCTTATCTTGTTCAGAGTTTAGAAGGAAGCTTTCAATTTATCACTGTTATCGATGTTAGCGGTGGGTTTCTCATTTATGTTTGTATTGTGTTGATGTACATTCTTTCTATACCTAATTTTTTGAGAGTTTTTAGCATAAAGTGATGTTGAATGTTATCCAAGCTTTGTCCTGCAGTAGATCTTAAAAAGACTCAGTTCTAGCTCTGGCCACTATTCTCAATTTAGTAGGTATTGATGTTATTAATTTATAAGATATAGAAAATGTCTATAAATTAATAACTTACCTAAGTGGCAATACTAACATAATAAACTGCAGAATCAGCATTGGAAGTCAGGCTTCCTCAAAATCTGTAAAGTATTACTCTGAATTTTTTTATAGAATAGTTAAGTTTATATTTTATAATTATTTGAGTTATATTTTATTATAATGTTGGAATGGTTATATACTCATTTCTACATGTTGAGTAAGAAAAGAGAAGCCTGCCACTTATTCTAGTTATTCCTAATTCAAATAAACATGAATATTCCATTCTGTGTTGACAAAACTTATAATATGTGTTGTCCATAAAACATTAATAATTTTAGGAGATAGAAGTCTTAACAGTTTTAATAGTGTCTAAACACTATATATAACAAAATAGATTCTCTTTTTTTTTTTCAAGAGAGATTAAATCGTTTATTAGTTACACATGATAATGTTGATACACAAGCTTCATTCCCATCTATAATTTTTTATCTGGTACCATTATTCAATTTAGATATATTGCATAGGATATGCAACAAATCATCTTTATAACCAATAATTCCATGATTTTTCCTGCATGACCCCTTTTAATGGTGAACTTCAGGTCACACAGTAACCATCAGTCAAACTACATCAGGTTTCTGAGACAATGGCTTCTCCACCAAGCAGGTTGTAAATGAATTTCAAATAGAACCTGGCATCACCCTGAAGGAATTCTATCTTCACACTTTTGGGGAAGTTTACAAATGGCTTCAGAGTAGACTAACTTTACACAGCACATTTAAAAAAAAAAAAAAGACATTATTCAGCGTCATGATCAGACTATTACATTTAGCAATCAACAGCATGGGTGCACAAAAAAAAAAATCTACATTAAAACCCTTTGTTGAATGCTTTACACTTTCCCAGAACAGAAACTAAAATAACCTGTGTATACAATTATCACAATACAGTCTCGAGTTTTTGCCATACACATGAGTATTGTCTAAAACATGTCTTCTTTGTAGCAGCTAAGCCCTGCCACCACTGTGCTTGGCTGAGTTCACAAATCTGTTGTAACCGTAGCTTCCCTGTCACTTCTCTGCTCTCCTCTCCTGCTAAGCTTTGTTTCCTGGGAATAATTAAAACCTTCTGCCCTGCCATAGCTACTGCTGCTACTGGAACCACCATACCACCTTGGTTTCGTGGTTGGCAAAGTATGGCCTCCACCACCATAGGGGCAGAGCTTCTGCCTCCAAAATTCCTCCCTTCATGGGTCCAAAATTTGAAGACTGATTGTGTGTAATTGCCAAAACATTGTAGCTTCCACCACCTCCAAAATTGCTTCCATCATTACCAAATCCATTGTACCCATCCCCACTGCACCATATCCACACACCACGGCTGCCACCAAAGCCACCTCGACCACTGAAGTTTCCTCCATGGCCAAATGTCATTCCCACCAAAACCACCTCCACGACCACCACCAAAGTTCCAGAACCCTTCGACCTCTTTGGCTGGATGAAGCACTACCACTCTTGCTTTGACAGGGCTTTCTTACTTCACAGTTGTGGCCATTCACAGTATGGTATTTCTGAATGACAATTCTATCCACAGAATCATGGTCATCAAAGGTTACAAAGCAAAGCCCTCTTCTTGCCACTGCCTCTGTCAGTCATGATTTCAATCACTTCAATTTTCCATACTGTTCAAAATAGTCTCTTAGGTGATGTTCTTCCGTGTCTTCTTAATGCACCAACAAAGATCTTTTTCACACTTAAGTGGGCACCTGGTCTTTGAGAATCTTCTCTGGAGACAGCTCTCTTTGGTTCCACAACTCTTCCATCCACCTTGTTGTGGCCGTGCATTCATTGCTGCATCCACCTCCTCCACAGTGGCTACGTGACAAACCCAAGCCCTGGAGCGCTTGGTGTTTGGATCTCTCATTACCACACAGTCTGGTGAGCGTTCCCACTTGCTCAAAATGGCTCCTCAGACTCTCATCGGTTGTTTCAAAGCTCAATCCTCCGATGAATAGCTTCCGCAGCTGTTCGGGTTCTTTAGGAGACTCTGACTTAGACATGACGGCAGTGGGAAGAGAGACTTCAACGATGCTTCCTCGACAGCGTCCACGGACAGAAAGGAGTAAGCTAACGAACGTATCTCAAGATTCTCTTTTTTAATGCATGCATGTACCACTTAGGAGAAACAATGAATGCAACAGCCAGATTCAGACTGTGCTCAAATCTTTCTTTATTCAAAGAAGAGCCTCTAAATGTTTCATTTTTAACCTCACTGATGACTATAAGTAATTTTATAGATATTTTGCCTGGAAATTTCAAAACACATTTTTTTTTTTGTTATTTCTAGTGCCTATTTGCAATGTTCCTAATGACAATGTTGAATTTTACCTGAGTACTGTGACCTAGGTAAGTGCTAGAAGTTAAGAAATGCCCCCTTCTGTTTTATGTTCCCTGAAAAGTCCTGCTGCCTTGAACCGTTTTCAAATGATTTACATAGCACTCATATATGTTTCCCTTGCTTACCTATGACAAAACTAAAGAAACCCTCCAAATTCTCATTCTTTGCCTCATAAATGATTAGCTGAACTTCAATGCCCCACTGATCTATGAACATAAAATGCTGGCCAAAACAAAACAACAACAACACCAACACACTTTGGTTACGTTTCTCTCCTTTCCCTGGTCTTTGACTTTAGTCAGCACTCAACTCCTCCTTAATAGCCCTTTCTGAGAATAGGCAGGCCTCAGGATAAATTCTCTGATCTCCTATTTGATCACACCTGGTGTTTTTGTAGCCTTGTTCATGCCCTCTGTAAAAGAAAAAAAAAATGTACCTGCCTATACTTGAGATGCTTGCAGATCTGATTACCAGAATGTTCTCCCCATTGGAATACTGCCTCTCTCTCATTGTCATAGTCCTTTCCTCTCTTGGAATAATCCTTTCAAATAGAGTCTCTCCTTAATTACTCTTGATTTGATTTTTCTTAAAAACTGATGAAAAAAATGGAAGAATAGCACCTTCATTACCATTAGTATGTAACCTCTCTGATAAAGTTTATGAAGATGTGTTAATACTAGTGCTGAAAAATGCAATGAATAAAAACAGCAGGTGTCGTCTAAGCCTGGCTGTAATGGTGGGTACCGGAACAAGGTAGGATGCTTCTTTTTCCTCTGTGAATATAGTTAACAGTCTTTATGAACCTAAAGACAGAATGAAGCTGGTAATAAAAGGTCATTTTAGTAATATATTTTAGCTGCTCAAAGATAAAATTGTGGTTCCTGGTCCACAATAGCATTATAACTACCTTGTGTCATTGTGAAGAGCAGTTGACAGGTGGTACTTATTTTTCTGAATAACCACTTTGAAGAAACATGAATACCTTTCTTAATAAAATGAATACATTTTGATAGCACATTTTTCAAGGAATTTTACATTCAGATGTAGAAATAAAAGGTATATAACAATGTACTTTGTGGCAATAGGGAACGTGGATTTTGGTAGGAAAATGTTATTAATATTATCCAAAATAATCACCAAATGACTCATAAAATAGTTGATGTGTGAAATTTTTAAATATTTTGGAGGGCAGGAGGGCACTAAAAGGACTAAATGCTCTGATCATCAGATCTGCAGGCATCTCAAGGATTAGGCAAAGGCCAGGAGAGGGTTGTTGCTAGAAGCTAGAGAGGCAGACAAATTTAGGTTAAGTAAAAAAAAGCTAAGAAAATTTTGGAGGCAAGTGACATGCCATCAGTCTACTTTGTGCTAGTCATAGCAAAGAGATTCTAGGCAATGGAAAAAGCCATACATGCCAGAATGTGGGCTTTTCCATCCTAAGGATTTCTGGTCACTCAGAAGCTCTCGTCAAGAGCTTCCTAGTATTCGTGATCTCAAGGAAATGTTTGCCAAGAAAAAGTCCTTCTCACAGGTGGACCATCCCTGACCCAAGTTACTGCACATTGCAATAAATAAGAAGCACTTTCTAGGACTATCAGATAGTATGATTTCAGGAGCTCTTTTGTAGCTCAAATATTTTTCTGCTTTTCTCAGTAACAGGCCATTGTTCCATGAAGCATAAATGGTTTTTCTTTTTTTTCATTCTATATTAAAATCAAAATACTTGATTAGGATACCAATGCATGAGTAACTCTGTCTTTAGACATGCTCAGATGAAACTGATTTCATAATGTTGACTCTTCAATTTTCTTTGTGTTTCTTTTTCTGGCACTCCTGGCAATTTAGATATTGGATTGCATGATTTCCCCAAGTCTCTTATCTCTTCTTTCATACTTTCCAATTCTCTTTCCTTTGAGAGTAATCCTCAATTAAAAATGCTTGCTGATTAGTTTAATTTTCAACAGTATCCATTTTGCTATTTAGCCTAAGTATTGAGGGGTTTTCTTTATTTTAGTTTTTAAAAGCCCTAGTTTTATTTTATGGTGATACTGTATCTGTATGTGTATGTATGTTTAAAGCCATACTTATTTTAAAATCCGATTTTATAATTTTGTTTCTTTGTGTTTAATTGCTTCCCTTCACTGAACCTGCTGTTTCTCTGTTTTGGTATCTGCTTTCCTCAGTCCTGCTTCATCAGTCTTGATACTGTTATGTTGGGACTCCCTGCCGAGAACTGAGACACTCTACATTTCCAGAACTTACTGTCTGCATTAACATGCCTTTCCTCCTCCACTGACTTCATCAACTTAACTTTAGTATTTAGCGTTACAGCAAACTCTTGCTCAAGAAGAATAAAATTGCAAATGACTGTATTTTTCATTTCAGGAATTTACTGAATGGCGTATGTCAAGACCTTTTGAATTATTTGCCTCAGAATTCTCACCTCACTGTGTTTACAATTTTAAGCAACTGCATTATGATTTTTGCCCAACCTTAACCAAACCCCTACATTATAAGACCCACCTAAATCAGATTTCAAAATCTCAATAAATATCTCTTCTCCTCTGCTGAAATAGTATTCTCCTTTACACCTATGGTTAAGAAATGAACTCAGCTTTGTTTCATCAAGTTGTTTCAGTGGTATTTTAGTGTGTCAACATCCAACATTGCCTATGACTGAACAAAATTGTTAAATTTGAGAGCAAGGAAAGTGCTGAATGTTTTGTGTTGTTTTCAGCAAGAGTAGAGGCAAGTAAGCTCTGCCACTCAGGAAGATGTCTGATCATTGAGGGATTTCCATTTCTTTTGGATGATACCAGCCCATAGAGATTGACTTTTTTTCTATTATCTCCAATACCTCATAGTCACTGCTTTCCAACTGGAGTCAGAGAGCATTGTTCAGGCTCACTCTCTAATTAGACAACCACTCATAAACCAGAAATTTAAAAACCATAATTAATTTATATTTAATTGTGAATCAATTCTAATTAAGTATAGACTGTTAAAAAAAGTGCAAATAATTTAGTATCAAATCATTTTTTTGATTTATAGGCAGGGGAATGTGATAGAAGAAGAAGTCCCAGAAAATGGTTACTACCAGAAAAGAAAATGATTATAGAAAATAATTCTATCAGAGGATAAGCCTCAAGGAAGTCATAACCTTGATTAAGATGAGCCCAATTTATTTTGACCTCTTTGGGGAAGAAGCTACTGATGACTTTCCATCATAAAGCTACTCATACAGACAGCTGTTTTCATTATGAAAATTTATTCAATATTTGAATAAAATAATTTGGTTTTAAAGGCATTTTTTTCTTTGAGGAATCACAGTATTATGAACTTTGATTTTTTTCTGAAACATTTATATACTACATTTTATAAAATACATGAAATTTCACTTTGTAATATGCCTTACAAAAAATAAAAACAAAACAAAATCATAAACAATTTTTTTCTTTCTTCCTTCCATTTTTAAAATCTTGTTTGCTACTACTTATTTTATTTATTGATTCACTGATGAATACAAGTTCCCAAAGATTTAAGATGGCTCATGAAACTATTAGCAGGAAGATTTGTGTTTAGTCTTAATCGTCTAAATGATCTTTCTTAAAAGAAAACCTTTTGTAAATGCTTAGGTTAACATAGTTAATATTCCACATATTCAGCCTCATATAACTCAGGTCAGTCTTGAAAAGTGACAATTTAATATGGTGTCTCCAAAGCTGGATGATTTGTCTGTTTAGATATAATTCTAGGGAGGTCAGAACAACCTGAAACCCTCAGTCTTCATCATTAGTTGTTCTTGTATTTGAAAGCAGTTTTTGATCTTGAACTTATACTCTTACTGCAGCATTTTAATTCATATAATAACATAATTTGAATATGGTTATTATGCTTTAATAGGAAAGAGAAGGATTTTAAAAAATTTTTATTTCTTATAATTTTCTTCTCTAAATAATTGCCATTACATTCCAATGATTTTTTATGATTTAAATTTTACATTAATTAACATTTTAAATAAATTTTGAAACGATTAAATAGGTGAAGGGCACATGATGGCACCTTAAGAGTTCATATCAGTGATGGAAGTAGCAAGCAACTCATATTTGCATATTCCTTTACAGTTTGTTAGGTAACTTTAAAATATCATGCCTGCATTTGTATTGAGCTTATCCCTCTGATGCAGTTAAAATCAATAAAGTTATTTCCACTTTTAAAATGAATAAACTAAGGCTCATCTTAATCAGATCAAACGGCTATCTGGTAGAGTTGAAAGTGATTCTTAGATACTTCTCTATGTCTTAATTGTTCAATTATTACCACAATTACTTACACACATACAGAAGTAAACAGAAATACTATTTCTTTACTCTTGATGTTCTGAAAGTGGAGATTGCTTTACTTTCCTACTCAGAATTCATTGTGCTTTTTCAGGTTAAGAATACATTTTTATTTGTGGATAAAATTAATTTGTTTCTTTTTGAAGATACTTTCTTTTTCTTATCCCCCCCACCCCACCCTGGTGTTTCTTTAGATATACATTCAGACTTTTACTCTATCTGACTGGTGCAAGCATCATCTTAAACTCACGGTAATGTATTCTTGGTATTTTTTTCCAGATTGATTGGCCAAATAAAATAATTAACAAATAACTAATTAACATTGTAATACACCACCTTTTAATTTAAATAGAAATATTAATCATTTCTAGAATTTACATATTTTAAAAATGTTCTAG